ATTTCAATAGAAAAAAAAAAGGATTAACTCGGCTTTCACGGTAATAGATTAATATATATGCAGGTCGGTGAATTAATTTCTAAATTATCCCATGTTTAATAACATCAATGATTTAATATGGAGGAAGCTGCGAGAGCTCGAAAAATTTTATTATTTTTAGTAATAAACTTTTCAACATATATAAAAATAGAGTTTTTGCATATAGGAGCTCTGCGTGCCTCGTGCGTTTTCAAACAAGGGATCAGCTTCGGATCTCGGAAAAATCACCATCCGCCCCTAGCGCGGTATGATTCAAACGCGCGTGCTGTAATTTCGCAAAAGCGATTCGTTATCATTTTGCTGGCGCGGCGCTAATACGCGCGGAAAAGTCCGGCGTGGCGCGCTGAATGCGATTCTCTTTTTCTTCCATTCGGCAGAGGTAGCCGGCCGCGGCACGATTCCCCGAGCTTTCGCGCTAAAGGGTATTCGCATTTTTCGCGAGATTAAAATTATGGATACAAATTGCACGAGCGTGGTTGTCAGTCGCGCGAACACAATTTACGCTTTCATCTCGAGACGAGTGCCTCTATGTTGTTTTCGAAGAGGCAATATACTGATAGGATTTCATTTCGGATTTTCGCCGTCGCTATTTCTCAATCCCTGGACTGCTGCGTTATTTGCAATAAATGTTTTATGCTGATTTCCAGCGAATCAATTTATATTTTCCTTTACGCACGACCTGATGAGTGAGATATTTTAATTTGTGCTCTTTGGGTCAAGCATAATTAATCTCATCTTTTTATTGCTCAGCTCCTGATAAATGTGTACATTAAATAACCCGATAATTAAACTTTAAATTAAATTCCAACGAAGGAAGTGATTACTTCGACTGTAACGACGAAACATGAAATTTTATTTTATTTCACAGTCAGTAAAAATCTTTTGATAATCGTATCCGACTGAATTATTGACATTTTCCAAGTCACCAATGCTGCGGCAGATGCGAGCAGTTCACTGTGCTGAGTCGAATGTGCCGATTTCGTCTTTGATGGAAGATTTGGCCGAGGTAACCGTATTAGAGAGCGAAACGGCTGGACGAGGTCGAAGGTTATGAAAACCCAGGCAAATGATGTGCGAACGCATAAAGAGAAGGATTTGAATGAAGTCAGCGTAGTTTTGTTACCGGCGTACCCATAAACCGTGAAAAGTCGTCGCATGTGCGCATGTTTCTTCATTGCTTCGGCTATGCTTTTCCTAGATTTAACTAGATTTATGTGGCCTGGTTCCCTTATGTTGCTTTGGCGAGCGTTGAAAATATGCGCAAGCTCATATGCGAACTTTAGAACATGACGGGGAGGACTCTTTGTTTGGTACGTGATTGAATGAAAGCTTTCTGCAAAAGAGATAAATTGACGAAAAATGTTTCAAACAGAAAGCATGATCAGTGTTTAATGGAAATTTATCAACCTTGGAACTGTATAACGCTAAACACGCCTTATGAATTTTTTTACATTTTTTATAAAGAAAACATATAGAAAAATGCAGTAGAAAGATGCAGAGAAAGATTTTTTAAAGAGATATTAAAAATGTGACCTTTATTACGAAAGTTAAAATAAATAGTAAATTTAGTACAAAAATTGAAAGAAAATTTATTCGTTTCTTATTTTTTATGACACCTCAGTGTGTAATTGCAATTTATTATACGACCATATATTTATAGTGAATTATTAATTCGACAAAGAAACCAGACAAATAGCACAAATAAAGGAAATTTGGGAAACTATCTTTACGCTCTACAAACTCTTACGAAGAAATTTGTAAAGAGTTTTTCCATTCTTCTTGAGTTGCTACTCGCTCACACAAAAGCGAGATTCGCCGTCCCAATTCACTCGATAGAATAAAAATGGAGCGGGGATGTTTTATTGTCGCGACGTGTGCGATACTTGCGTAGAAGTTTGCGCGTTTATGTCCAACTAGTTGTTGCGGCTTAACCTAATTTCGAAAATAGATCGAGGGTAATCCATACATTGGTGGCACTATAGTTGGGATTACAGATACGTTTGGATGCGCGCTGCACTGTAGCAAGCAGTGAGATTCTACTAGCTAACGTTACGTTATTATAACGTGTAAAGCGTGGCTATACGTGATAAATCGGCTCGCGGAGTAATCATGTTTTGCGCGTGAATTTAATTTCCTAATTGCATTTTGTCACTTTTTATACGCAGAAACTTAAACAAACACAGCAGCGAGATTGCTCTTTAGTAATATACGTAGATAATTTTTGTTATGCAGCTTAATGAGTTCATGCTTTTAATCGAGAATCGAGAATATCGATCGTTGAGAGATTAAAATAGTAATCGTACCGATGTACACGACGATAATTAACTGCTTTATTACCAGACTATCGTAATGCGATTAAATGGAAATTAAATTGGGATTAAATTATTATATATTAATTTATGGTTATTAGGCTTGAAATGCGTGATGGTGATCCTATAATGCGCAATCGATTGAAATCAAAAGACCAAGATCGGCGAGCGATATCTCCTCACGGCTTATGAATTATCGAGACGCGCGTAATTAAAGCTGCGAAATTCAAGTCTTGTTTTGCGACCGTTTTACATATCCAACGGCGCAGATAAAAATAAATCTCTGCTTACTATCGGTGCGTACGTGAAGAACGTACGGAACAAGTGGTTCACTTACGACCGCGAGTAAATTAATTTCTGCAATTCCGAGCCGCGCATGTTTGTCCTCTTCGTTTTTCGAAACTTTGCCGCAGACATTTCGTCCACGCTTTCGCCGTTGAATAAGCCGCTCGCCTCTCCACTTCAGGGAATTTGTTCGTATTTATGAGATGCTCGAGTTGGAAGTCACGTATTCGCGTATTCGCATCGTATCGACGTCCTCTGGAGCGGCATTAGAAGAAAAAAAATGAAAGAAAAGGAGAAACAAGCTCGGCATTAACGATCCTTTCTTCATGGGGGGAGCCGCATTACACCCGTGCACGTTTACACCGTACCTCTTATTAATTTCCGCGATGCGAATTATCCAGCCCGGAATTTCCCGTGTCGTTCTTTATTTCTTTCTTTTTTCTTTCTTGCCTTCCATCTTCCCCTTCTCGTCTTGTTCGCCGTTTTATCTATGCATTTTCATTCAGTCGCGATTTCTTCAGTGTACGTGGACTCTTTAGTTAATAAGTTGAAGAGTTAGCTACGATTGAAGACTTGAATATAATGAAAATATGATTAAAATAGAATTAAATGCCACGAGATGATAATTTTGAGATAAGCGATCTTTGTGTACGTTTAATTTAACATCAATTCCATTTTTATCTTTTGGCACTTAGGTACACTTTCGTTTCAAACCTTTTATTACGCAAAATAATTTTTAGTTTTATTTTCTAGTGGAACGGCTTCTTTGAATATTTAAACAGTTACATTTTCCGAACAATTCATCCATCATTTGTGTTTGCTTATGAAATACAGACCATATGCGAGAAGGAATGAATAATAACTGGCAGTCGCGCTGAACACAGAAAATCTGTTGCGCTCACGGAAAGCTTACGTATTCACGAATACGTTCTCGCAGCTTTAGCTTATTTGATGGCCTAAGCAGGTCTTTTTTTAGTGCGGTCGTTATTACCTTTTATGACGAAACGTCGGGATATCTCAGGTCTGAATTTTTTCCGCCATACACGAGAAAGTTGTTAAACTCTATCATCGATTTTCTACTTTTCTGCTTCGCGCCGATTGAAACGCGTGGAAAATGAAGGCGCAAATGCGGTCAGAAAAAGTATTATAACTTCGATCGCGATGGGAATAATGAAATAATTGCCGGTTATCGCAATACACGCACGAGGAATAAATGAATATATCAAATTCACGATTGTATACAAATCGTTACATATTGATACTTTCAATTTATCGGAGCAGGTTATTTCGTTACACGGAAAAAATAAAGTTATAGTGCAGCCACAAATTTTATCAATACCTATTTTTCTCTTGTTAAGAGTCGCTGCAGTTAATCCAGTCTAATTTAATCCTTTGCACTCGAAGGTTTTTTACTACAGGGAAGTAGCAATTCGAAGCTTTTTTAAAAAGTTTAAATTTTTTAAAACTAACATAAAAATAAATCATATACATATATATATAACTTTTATTTCAATATTTTATGTATATATTTTTAAAAAACAGTTATTGTCGCCTTTCAGTCGCCATTCGAGTTGCTGCATTAAATCAAGTGATGAATGAGAGTCGCCTCTTGAGTGCAAAGGATTAAAATATATGTAATTAACCTTCTATCGTTCACGTAACAAAATTTTTGTTTATTTTTTTTCAATATTTTTAGCTAGTTACGTTTTAATAAATTTTTTTATATTACAAAATATTTTTAATAATAACACTTTAAATATACTATTCAAGTTTCAATTTTTTTCCATGTATTATCAACTAATATTATATCTTGTTATTTTGTTACATATTTTTTTATGGAGGAAACCACATGTTACTATATTTTAGTCACATTTTTTTTAATACTTTAGTAATATCGTGACATATTTCATGTTTCCATTTGCTCAAAGGGATTTTTCGCAAAATACGAAAATTTCTCCCTTGTCTTCCTTCTCTCTTTCTCCTCTCATTTTTCTTTCTTCTCTCTTCTCTCTCTCTCTCTCTCTCTTTCCCTCCCTCTTTCACTCCTCCCCCTCCTCCCCCCGCTCTTTCTCTCCATCGACGACCGCGTGACGGCGTCTCGCTCGCGCCGACTGCGCGTGCTGTTGACCGGTCGTCATGGCAACCTAGCGACGAGTCTACAGTGGCCCAAGGTGGATGGACTGCGGGCTGGCGCGCCTGAACAGACAGAGCAGAAGTCAGTGCACGCGCGGACGCGAAACCGAACGTGTATGTTCGTACGTTCGTCTATCTGTCACTGTCCCTCTTTTTCTCTGTCTCTCTCCCGCGTTACAAATTGTCCCGTACTCGATTGCGCACGTATTAATGGTGTTTGTGTTTTGTATCCAGCCTAACCAGACTCCCGGAGGGGACACTCTCGAGGCCGAAGTCAACCGCTGACAGTGACACTATGGAGTGATTCGATCGACATTGTATCAGGTAAGGTTATATAGTAAAAAAAAAAAAGACTGATATTAGTCAGACGCGCGATAATAAATTGATCAACATTCGTGAGAAATCAGTCAAGCCAAAATGATTCAGATTTAATTTGTTAATGTTTTTTTAGTACATTTATTTATTTCAAATAGCATTTTTACAAGTGAGCGATTTGTCTATGATAAGTTTCAGTTAATAGTATGAATAAGTAATGGTTAACGGACACGATATGTGTACTAGTCAGTGTCTGTTATTTTTTACGAAATGTGGCTTATCTAGTTTCTCGTGGATGATAATAAATTCGGAGTTCACGACTTCGCCTTTGAAAAGAAATCGACCGTTTTCCTAATTCATGTTCAGAGAACAGAGTGAGCAATTGTTAAATCGGAGTGCATTGACAGATGGCTATTGATGCTCGAATGTGCTTTTGTACATTGTTTATAATATAATTATAAATTATAATTTCCTTGAGGCAAGGTACTGCTTTGAGAAGCAAGGAGAAAAAGCAGAATGTATAAAAGTTGCTTGCGTTGTAAAAGTTGCTTGCAAAAGCAGATAATTTATATATTATATAAAAAGTTATTTTATCTGTGCATATTCTAAGCAAAAGTTTGCATAATTTACAATAAACATACATCATCAATGCTTACCTGCAAGTAGAAAATAAGTTTTCGCAGTATTCTTTTCCGCCGCCAAGTAGATATAGTCAAATAATGGTCAGACATGCCGTATCCGCACATCAATCGCATCGCTTCGTGGAATTTATGTTTGCTTCGTTAAAACTTTTTCACTAGCGTATTCATAGCGTATTCAAGAATTGTTCTACATATTAGAAACATTATCGCCTGCATTGCTAAACGCTCGCAGAATTGGTTTAATTATGATTGATGAGTGGGCTCGCGCCTCGTTCAAATGATGGCTTTGCGTGTAGTACACAACGTTTTGTATATAAGTTCCATAAAATATGATATACACATAGATTGTGTGTATACGCGGAATACAACGTTAGATGATAAAATGATTTTTGGACATTTTCTACGTTTTCTTGCTTAATGTCGCAGTATTTAATTTGCGCGAATTTATTGGTTGTTGAAATGTTCCGTATATTTACAATTGACGTATTAGTAATCTATAAATAAATTTTGATTGATAATAAAAGGTCTTTAAATGAGACATTATATGATATGATATGATATATGAAATATGAAAGCTACTGCGATAACAGTTAATGTTATTGTTTTCGATAAACAAACTATAATTTGATACATGTAAATTCGATCGGAATAAGTCATAGAAAAATATAGAGTAAAATATATATGAAATATATAATATAATACATTTTTAAAAGTAAGATGAGAATACAGAATAACAACTTTTATTATAGAAAATCGGGATGTATGAAATATATAATATTGCATTTTGAATTCTCGATGAATAAAACTGAAATATTTCATTCGAAATTTGATGATGTAATAGAATATCGCATTCGCAATTTTATATGTGTAAAAGTAGAGTTACTCGAAGTAATAGTAAAGCTTCAATTTTGCCGAGTGGTGAGGGAAGTTATTTTAAAACTTTATTGTACGTGGAACTTACAATTAGTTTTTTAAACGAACATTTGTAGCTATTTATACGCTAATTTATACATTTGCTCTATATATTGTAAATCTCAAAAACAAAAAAGTTTTTTACAGTTAAAAATAATCTTATTTTTTAAAATAATTTTAGTAAGAACATTCTTATTTTTCAAATATTAATTATTTTAAATAATAATTATAAATTTTTTAATTAATTTTTTATTAGTGCAATCTAAAATTATCTTCGATGAAATGTTGTGAAATCAAATCGTGCTTGAGATATTTGTAAATTCTCTGTAATTCACTTATATGAAAAGGGATCTAAAAATAAGAGTTGATCTGCACATCGATGTATATCATTTGATTTGAAAAGTCGATAGTGGACGAACCGATGAAAACTCCGTATTAGAGGTCACGAAAGTTTGGCGCGTAAAATAGCGGGAGTGATGGTTTGCGATCGCGCACTCGGCAAGATCGAAAATTATTTTCGATATAGCGGTCGGGGTTCGATTTCAAGCCGTGGCGTGGGAATTTCATTGCTTCGAGCCGGTGCCGGACTTCCGCATAAACGAGGTGAACTATAGCTTAGGGCTTCGCGATACGAGCTCCAAAGTCTGAGTTTGCTTCGAGTTTTATGGAAGCTAAGTGACTAGTGGGAAACAACGTGCGATCGAGTTTTCTTGGCCAACGATCCTAATAAACATTTTAAAATTTGAAACTTTAATTATTGATAAATTAATTCTGTATTGTATGTAATCCGGTGTACGTATCCGGATGTAATGCGCGATATTATGCACGATTCAACATATGAATTACCGTATTCCGTTGTGCGGAATAGAGATCTTAAACGGAGCATTAATTGAAATTAAAGAAAAACAAATAAAGGTTAAATTAAACTAGAATTAAAAAGGATGGAAAAAAATTTAATTGAAATGAAAAAAATAACATATTATATCGCTGAGTTAGTGGCTGAAATAAAAAGGAAAAATAGAACTCTCTTCAATTTCAAGGTTTACCGTCACAAAAACTGCTGCTTCCTAATATCTCGTTCTTGCCAAGCTTCTGTTTTCCATTGCAGTCGTAAAGACCGAGGAGAGTGATACTGGTATTTGCATGTTTGCGCATTTGTTGCGCGATTCTGCTGTATGCATTCTCTCCGCATAAGTCACGGAATTATGTGTAGTTCCGTGTAGTCGCGCAAGGTGCTTCCATGATATTAATTTATGACTTTGCATCGCTTGATCTTAACCCGTAAGCACGCGCGCGGGATAACTAAGAGCCCCCAGCGTTCCCATTATCTTTCGGCAACTACACGGCCAAGAATTTAAATAACATATTACTATAAAACCAACACACCACCGAAAAGATGATTAGCAGGGATTAAAAGAAAAATTTAATAAACATCAAGTTGAATCGAGAACAACGTTATTAGAAGTAATTTAAATTTTAAAGAAATATGGATTTACAAATTTAAAACTATATTAGCATTTAACAGTGATTTCATACATATTACTGCACATATAGTTTGATATGTGTTACGAAATATAAGCCGCGTATTTGAACTTATTAATAAATATTAATAAATACCTTGCATTTCAACATTACACGTCCGAGCCTTATACCGTTTGATGGAAATTCCGAGAAATTAATTCCACGATGCAAAAGGAGCTTATTTTCAAGAGAATGCTTTTAAATCTTTGTTTCAGTACCGTCGTTTCTTCGTCGATTACATAAACTACGTTCGTATATTGATTCGCGTAGTCAGTCGGCCACCTTTCGCGGCAACTACTTTACTTAGATTAGTGAGAAACAAAAGAACGACCTTCTTTCAGTCGCCAGTGGAATTTAAGTGGAAGAAAAGCCGGTGCGCGCCGTCTTATTTTTCTCAGAAGGTCAAAGGGAAGAAGCGCAACGGTTCCATCGTAGTTCTTAACACTTTTTCCGCCTGCGTCTCTCCGCCCGGTTTTTTTTTTCACCTCTGTTCTTGCTCCTGGTAGCATCGATAAGAGGATGCCATCTCGGATGGCGCAAAAGCGCAATTTGTCCCGGGAAACGGCTGGCATTATCGCGCCCGCACTCGACATCGCGCCGGATTTGTCATTTGTCCGACGATCGAAGCGCGTCGGTTCACGATCGATCGTGTTTTCACTCGTGGCTTACCGTAAAATCGGCGATAGGGCTTGTCGATTTGACTAGTAACTTTTTTTTTTATAAGCATGCCGAACGAGAATGAGAGAGCTCGCGTTCCACCCACGAGCAAATATTTAAAGCGCGTTACATTGGTCGACCTTCCTCGCATTCGCGCCAGCCAGCTATTCAACCAAGTTTCGTGGGAACGACACAGTCTCTTTATACATGAACATAGCACAATTGCATTGCGATGTGAAATTGTGTGTATATTTGGCTATGGGGAATATTACTTTAATGCGCGGGAATGTAACGTAAGTAATGTAACTGTGCTAGCCTGCGCCGGTACTTTGGAAATAATGTTAATAGACGATATTTTGGCAATATTTGAGGAAAATGAGAATTCAAGTATATATTCATGAATATTTTGTTGTTCTATTTTATATTGTATTATTACAAATTATTTATGCTACATAATTTATAAATTCGATAATATGACGCGAATTAATCCATAATACTTATTGCAAATTAAACTATACTGTGATTAATTGATGAAATTACATTATGGGAAAAAGATATCTCGCTTTAAATACTTACACAAATGTCTTTTTCTATTTCGAGATGATTCGGATGAAATAAAGCGTTTTTGTGAAAACTTTTTATTCTGTCAAGCTATCGCGTTCGTTCTCTTCTATCTGTATCGACCGACAACGTCACGATAGTTGTAATTCGAAAGAAATATGACCGCAAATATTCGCTAACGGATTGTGTAACGAATTTGAAAGTATATCCGGTCGGCGATCCTACGTGAGCTTCTAGCGTATTATTTGCAGCGAGGCGGTAGAAAAGCTTTAAGCCCGATCTGGCATCGAGCCAATTTTCCGCCGATGGTAACCCATACACGTTCCGCGGAAAAAAGAGGAAACGGAGGTCGTGAATAACCCTATTGATGTGTAATCAGTACGTGAAAATGTCCTACGGCGCTTTAATAAACCGATACCAGTTGGTTAGTTCGGGAAAATTCGCTCTGGTCACTCTGATTAGAAAGCTTGATTTCAGGTTTTTGTTTTACTGATAATATTACTCAGCGCGTGAGAGTTTGCCACGAGAGCGTTTCAAGCGAATAGAAATAAATTACAATAATCATACGGGTGTTTTTCGAGATTACGCCGTTTTATCAGCGGTACAATTTTCGCGTACATATCTGTGAAGCAAGTTGGAAATGCCCCACCGGATATTTAACAAACAAACCCAGTGAAATGCCGAATTCGCGATGAGTGAACCAGTTAACGAATAATT